AAAAAAAAAAAAAAAAAAAAAAAGAAGAAAAAGAATGTACAAATAACATCCTATTCCCTGAGCTCTTCTAGGTGATTCCATTAACAACATTTTCCGAAACTGTTATTCACATACCATCCTATGATTTTTGTCTTGATCATGTTACCAACATATATTTACTAAATATTTCTCATTTAATGACATTTTATACTTAAGGCTCTGTTCTTTATACTTAAAATTATGTTAAAAGGAAACCTTGATACACAGTTAATGGAAATCCAAGTAAATAAGAACAAAGTTTTAAATATGGCTGTGTGTAATGTGCACACATGTAGTCTCAGCTACTGGAGAGGCTAGGCAGAAGATCACTTGAGAGCAGGAGGAGTTCAGGACCAGCCTGAGCAACAAACACTGTCTCTCAAATAAATAAATGCTTTTGCCCTTAAACTAGCAACAGTGTGGGGCTGGGGATTTAGCTCAGCGCCTGCCTGGCAAGCGCAAGGTCGTGAGTTCAATTCCCGGTACCGAAAAAAAAAAACAAAAACAAAAACAAAAAAAAACCTAGCAACAGTGTAACACACCGTGAACAACACGACACCAACACCCACTGTTTACCATCAAACGTCCCAGTTCTGCCATTAATTAGCTGCATCATTCCGGGCCCCTCACTTTCTCTTTCTGGAGACGTCTCCTTAGTTGTAGAATGGAAGCGTTACTCTACCAGCTCTAAAATCCCTCCCTGCTTTAAAATTGTTATTCCTCTACAGAATTTAAATCTCTCCCTTTACAAACGCTATAATATGTAATATGGCATGGTAGAATTTTAAAACTACGAAATACCCACGTCTCAATATTTCACCTCAAAATAATTTGCCCACGTTCTTGATCCTACAACGGTCCTAAACTTGTCCCTTTTTTCAAGTTTCAGGGGATATGGCTCCGGTAAACCACGAGCTGGTAGATATCCCCTTATCTTCTAAGGGTTCTCCTTAAGATCCAGAGTACCGATCTACTCCTGCTGCCGGGCGAAGCTTGGTACAGACGGGCACCGCGCTGGATGGACACCCTAACGCCGCGGTTCGGACGCTTAAGCTTAGTACTTGGCTTTCTAATGGGCTGATCAGGAGCCTGCATCTTCCACCCAGACACCACCCATCACAGGCTAAATCCATTTGCCCTTTAAAACAGGACACGCAATATTCTATCCACACACCTTACACGCCAAGTACACCTTAGTATGGGGAATTTACAGCGTCAGAACCTTGCTTGACTCGCCCAGGTTAACCGCTCACTGTACAAATGCGAGCACTGAATGCACGGAAGGGACGGAGCAGCAAAGGGCCTAACGGAGTCTCGTGCTCTTTATTCAAACGAGGCTTCCTCTTTCCGTCCGACAAAACAAAACCAATTCCGCTTACAGTTTTAGGTCTTCTCCCGCGCGTCGCTGCCGGGGCACTCTTCTTGGGTCGCCTGTTCCACTTTGACTCGGGAAATACCATCAGCCGCCAAAATCTGAAGCAGGTTGGCTCCCGACGCTCCCTGGAACTTGCGAGCAGCGGAAGTTCCGCGACACCGTCTTGAAACCAGTCAGTTCCCGGAACCTTATTAGTTGTCCTTGCCTGCGCGTCGACGGAACTATTTGGCTAGCGCCCGGGTGCCTTCGTCACTTCCGTCCTCGCGGGAAAGCTGGGAAGTCGGAGGCCAGGAGAGGTGGGAACCCTGGGGCAGTGGCTGTCCGGAGTCTAGGCGACGGGGCGAGACGGCGCCGGTAGGTGGCAGGAGGGGGCCGAGCCGGAGCCGGCGAAACCGCCTGGCCCGGAGGCCCCCATCCTGGCGTACCCGTCCCGGCTCGGGAGGAGGAGGATGATCTCCAGATACACTCGGAAAGCCGTGCCACAGAGCTTGGAGCTGTGAGTGCGCTGCTCAGCCAGCCCCCGCGCGGGCCGGGGGAGGCTGGGGCGGGCCGCGGGCGCTCTGGGACCCTCCCGGGCCGGCTCTTCGCTCCTTTCTCAGTTTGGGGGAAGGAAAATATTCTTTGGAATTCTGTCCTTCCAGCCGGGCGGAACTGCCCCTGTCCCTCCCATTTCCAGGTGGGCGTGTCACCCTTATAGAGTACGAAGACTGGACTTCCTGTGTTGTACTAAGTGAGTTTAGGGGCTGGGTCTCCTAAGGCATTTGCAGTTCCCTCCGTGCTTCGGGCCCCACTGTCAAAAACTGGAAAAGTTATTAATACCTCAGAGCTACAATGAAGTTGAATACATCTGGTGTCAGACACCGTGCAAAGCTCTTTTGCATGTATTAGCCTATTTAATCCTGTCCGCGAGGAAACCCCTACGAGAATAATTTGCATATTCTACAGATGAAGATCCCAGATTTAAAGACTGTAGCATGCAGCTAGGCGCGGTGGCGCGTTCCTGTAATCCTGGTTATTCAGGAGGCTAGGAAGGGCAGAAGGATCAAAAGTTCGAGCCCAGTGTGGACAACCCAACGAATTGGCAAGGCCCAACCAAAAAAAAAAAAAGAAAGAAAAAGGAAAAAGGAGGGGGTCTGCGGATGTAGATCAGGGTGAAAGCCCTAGGTTAAACCCCAGTACCTAAGGGAAAAAAAAAGATTGTAATGTGTCAGTGGTCACACAGGAGTAGTGTGGAGCTGAGAAGTACAAACATTGTCAAAAAAACTTCGTGTCGATCTAATTTTGCACCTTTGGTTAAAACCATTCACTGCCTCAGCACCTCTGCAATTAAGCATCAGAACCTATAAACAACAGTTTTGCTTCTGAGCCTTTAGAAAACAAGTGTTTCTGGCTCAAAGACTCACCTTTTACTTTTAGTAAAGTGTTGTACTTCAGCAAGTACGATAATTACAGTCTTACATTTACTAATGCTTTACACTTTCAGAAAAACTCACTTTTTGATCCTTGTAAGAACTCTGTAAAATGGGTGTGATTATCTTCGTTTTTTAGAAAATTAAATTATATCAGAAAGATTACACATATTAAGATAATATAGCCAATAGAGTCTGGGCTTTAAAATCCAAATCTGCTGGGCCTGGTGGTACACGCCTGTAATACCAGCACTTGGGAGGCTGAGGCAGAAGGATTGCTGCGAGTTCAAGGCCAGCCTGAACTGCATAGTGGGACCCTATCTCAAAAAAACAAACCAAAAAAATCCATTTTTCCGCTCATTGAGCTATGTAATTTTAGTAGCCATTCACTTATTAATTAATTAACTGTACATGGTAATAGCAAGCATATTTTTAAGTCACACTTGGTTTCTGGCTGGATTCTTTTCTAACCGTATAACTTTTAAACAGTTTACTTGAATTGCTCATGCTTCAGTTTCCTTTCCTGTGAAATAAAGGTATTAGAGATTTATAATATATATTTCGATATTAAATGCCCTGAGAAAAGCTCTTAAAAAGAAACTTGCGTAGCTTTGTGTAACCTATCATGTCTCCTAAATTTATTTGTTTGCAGAATTTTGTTGGGAAGGAAATTCTATGTAGATAAATAGGACTGGAAAATATAACTGACCCCAGTTTATTCTAATACATATGTCCAGAAGATAATAAAAATTCCAGAGCAGCAGTGTCCAATAGAAACGTAAGCCACATATGCAGTTTCTAACTTTTTAATGTGGTCACATAAAAAAGTGAACTTTTAACTTTTTATTTTAAAAAAATTAAACTCACACAGCGTTGCAAAAATATTAGAGTCCCATGAATCCTTCCCCCAGCTTCTTCCTAATGGTAACATCTTAAGTAACTTAATCCTAGCAGTATAATTCCAAAGCAAGGAAACTGGCATTGGTACAGTACTAGTCTACACTAGACTACAAACCTTACTCAGTTTTCACCGGTTTTTATATCCACTCCTCGTATGTGTGTACACATAATTATGTGCAGTTTGGTCCCATTTGTAGCTACTGCTACAATCAAGATAGACATTTATTTTATCACCACCAAGAAACTTCCTTGTGTAGCCCTATAGTCATATCCACTCTATCTCCAACCTCTGGTGACCACCAGTCTGTTCTCTATCTGTATAGTTTTGCAGTTTGTGAATGTTATACAAATGGAATGTTGCATATAGTATGTAACCTTTTGCAACTGGCTTTGGCTTTTTTCACTAAGTATACCCCTTTTGAGATACATTGAGGTTATTACATTTATCAATAGTTCATTTTGTAGGTTTCTGTTTTGTTTTTTGAGGCAGGGTCTCACTATGTAGTGCAGGGTGGCCTTGAATTCTGCTTATGTAGTCCAGGCTAGCCTCAAGCTCACAGCAATCCTCCTGCCTCAGCCTGGGATTACAGGTGTCACTTTTAAATTGATGAATAACATCCTATTACCAGAGTATAACTATTCACACAATGAAGGACTTTCAAGTTGTTTCTAGTTCTTTTTCAACTATAAGTAAAATTACTGTGAAAATATGTGTACAGTTTTTGTGTGAACATAGGTTTTTCTTTTTCTAGATTTACATGCCCAAGAGTGCAAGTGCTAGGGTCTTTTGGTAAATACATGTGTTTTGTTTTATAAGAAATTGTCCAACTATTCCAGAGTAGCTATACTACTTGGCATTCTCACCAACAGTTTATGATACATGCAAGCTACTCTACATCTTCACCTGTATTTAGTGTTATTCTCTATTTTTTATTTTAGCTATTCTAATAGGGATTTGGTAATATCCTACTGTATTTTCAGTTTGCATTAAAATTAATTTTAAGTATATATTTTGTTTAACCCAGTGTGTATATATGTAATATGTATATATATATATATATTTTTTTTTAAATTTAATTTAATTTTTTTTTTTTTTTTTTGTCTTTTTGAGACAGGGTCTCACTATGTAGTCTAGGCTGGTCTTGAACTCACACCGATCCTCCTGCCTCAGCCTCCCAAGTTCTGGTATTACAGGCGTGTGCTACCACACCTGGCACCCCAGCATATATCTTAATATGTAATAAAGGTAATCATATTAATGAGATATTGCACATTATTCCTGTTGTTCTAAAATTTTGAAACCCAAAGTGCTGTACACTTAAAACAGTCAGTACCAGTGAGTCATATTTTAACTTCTAGTGGCTAGTGGCTAGCCCAGTGGACAGCACAGTTCCAGAGTGACTAACGTCTACATTAAGTTACTGAAAAGTATTTATCTCCTCCTTACAGGAAATATAACTTTATTTTTCACAGGAAAGGAATAACAAAAAACGCTCTTAATCATCATCCCCTTCCAGAGCAACTAGATGAAACTTCTTCTGCCAGTAACAGTCATGAAAAAGATACAAGTTCCCAAAGGTAATTAATTCAAAGTGTACTTGTTTGCTTGTTGTACTTGCTAATGGCAAAGGTTTTGGGCTTTTTTGGTATCAAGCCTATGCTAATGAAATAAAAACAAGAATTTTTATCACCTTAGGAGGCTGACACAAGAGAATTGCTTGAGCTCAGGATTTCATAGCCAACCTGAGCAACAAAATAAGACCTCCTCTCAAAAATCAGTCAATAAACAAGTTTTCAGTACTATTCAGTTTTCACTCTGAAGCAGCTAATAGCAACAATGTCATGCTTATTTCCTAACCTTTGAGAAGTAGTACTATGAAGTAGTTAAGAACATGGATTCAGGAGGAGTCCTAGGATTTTTAACCTAGTACTGACGTTTATTAACTGGGTAACACTGAAGAAGTTACTACTTTATAATGTACCTCTTTTAGGGTATTGTGAATCTAAATGAGATAAAGTGTGTATGTGATATCTGACATAATGTTTGGCGTATAGTAAATGCTGAGTAAATATTAACTACAGTTATTGTAAGAAATAGCATAGAAGAGGCTATAACTTCAAAGAGGGTTCTGAGAAGCATTGTGTCGTCATAGAAAAATATAAAATCTAGTTTTAAAACATGAAACTAAATTTCAGGTTCTATGCTTTTAAATGGAGTTAGCTGAGTTGTACATCTCTAGGTGGTATTAAGGATAAAATATCCATGAAAGTAGGTTAATATATGTAGAAGTACCACACAAGTTCATTACTACTATTAACATTTCTGAAATATCCTTTTTTCCTCCCCATTATTGGGAATTGAACCCAGGGCCTTATATTGAGAGACATCCCCAGCCTTCTTATGATTTTTTTTTTTATTTTGAGACAGGGTCTTGCTAAGTTGTCCGGGTTGGGCTCAAACTTGTGATCCTGCTACCTCAGCCTCTCAAAGTGCTGGGATTACTGGCATGCACCACCATACCTAGCTCTGAAATATCTTTAGATGTCAAGATTATGTGTTTTAGGTGGAATATTAAAATACTCATCATAGTAAACTATGACTGGAATCGTTTGGAACGAATGCCATCAATTCTATCGGAATTAGAAAATCTTCATTTATTTTTGTTTCTGTGGATGTATTTGTACACCTGCTTATCATCTGCTAAGCTGCTGAGTAAATACTGCAGAAACCTGAGGAAATATGAGAATTTTTCTTTTTTCTCTCATCTTTCCAAATTGTGCGTTTAGTGAATCTGACATCACCCAAGAATCACCTTTTACATCAACTGGCACTGGGAATTCGAGATCTGCTTTTCCAAGTTATACAGGCACAGGGATCTCTACAGAAGGCAGTTCGGACTTCTCCTGGGGATATGGTGTGAGTTGTATGTTATCATCTGATGATGTTCTTGGGAGACTGTTTTGGGGGTTAGGATTTGTCTGTATATCTCATTCCTTCATTTTCCTGCACTGGTTCTATACATTTTAAACTTACCACTCTCTACTGTAGTTGTAAAGAAGCATCAGTCCTCACCTCCTGCCATTATTTGCTTTGTTTTACAGATTCAGTAGTTGAGGCTTAGAAATGCTTAGTGGTTGACTTAAACAGCTGCAGGTAGGATAGATCTGTACACTGGTGAACCTGTCCACCACTTATTAAGTAGAAAAAATTAGGTTAAAAGTAGTATGCATATTATGGTTCTAATTTTGTTTTTACATACAGTTTTTGCATGTATAGAGTCTGCCAAAAAAATATATGCATCAGGAAAAGAAATATTTATATAAACATTTTAATACTACATGCATTGAGACGTCATGAGATTAACACAAGTTACCTTGGGCCTCTACATTTATAAGGGGTGCTCAAAGTGGTGACCATTAGCTTCCACACATTTATTTTATGGCGAACTACTATTCATTTTATGGCAAAGTATATATACTTTTTTTGGCAGACTCTGTATATGAAGAAAGGACTAAGGATATTTGCTCAGTGTTATTCATTCATTGTTATTTAGGTGATGAGAGAAGTGATTTTTACTTATTTATTTTTTACCATCTTGTATTATAAAACATTTTAAAAGACTAATAACCTTAAAAGTATTTTTTTTTTTTTGGAGACAGGATCTCTTAATGTAGTTCAGGCTGACCTTGAACTCACTATGTAGCCAAGGCTGGCCTCAAACTCGTGGTGATCCTCCTGCCTCAGCCTCCTGAGTGCTGGGATTACAGGCATGTGCCACCACACCTGGCCAAAAGTAAATTTAAAAGACAAATTTTATACATAATTTTATCACCTTGATGCAATAGGTATTTTTAATTACTCTATCTTCTTTCTGTTTATATTTAATTTGGCCAAGTTATAAACATGGTTTACATAACAGTATTATGCTCTATTTTTTACTTAATACTACTATGTGTGCATACTATTTTGTGGTTCACTTGTCTCATTTATCATTATGTCATAGGTGTTTACTACCTCCGTATCGATCCATTTGAATAGTTGTATAATATTTCTTCAGGTTAATATATCACATTTGGAGTTTTCCTTTATCATGTGATATTGGGGTTTTCAGTATTTATTCAAGAAGTATGTATTGAATACATTTATTGTCACTGTAGTTGGCCCTGGGGAGATGGGGTGAGACTTACGTGGTTTCTTAGCCTGGTGAGGGAGACTGACAAAAGCAAATAAAACATAAAAGGTAGTAAATGCCTGTAGGGAAGAGAGCAGGGTGCTGGAGAAAGCATTATAGGGGGATTCACTTGAGGTAAAGTTACCAGGTAGGGCAGATTTGAAACTTAAAGATTGAAAAGTTTACTGTCCGAAGAGTGAGAAAGGGAGCTTCCCACACAGATAAACAGTAGCATATGTGAAAGAACATTTTTCTGAGGGAAAGTACATAGCATGTTCTTGAAATGGAAGAAATCATCAGAGTGGGTGGAGGATGGTAACCAGAGTTGGAAAAGCACAAGTGAGATCACACAGTAAGCAAGAGATTATGTAGGGCCTTGCAGGCCATGGGAAAGAATTTAATTTTATTTAAGGAATTAATATATTAATTTGATGCCTTATCAGGAAGATTTAATATACCAACTATGTATTTCCACCACTTCTCTCTATATTGTGATTCGTATCTCTTTTTAAATTTATAAGTGTCACACAGATGTTTCCCATTTCCTTGCTTTCCTTTTGGTATTTATTGTATAATGGATTTTTTAAAATATTCAGGTCCAATTGTCTCTTCACTAGTCAAGATTTCCTCTTTAAAAATATAGAAAACTATAATGTTCTTCATACCTTCCCCCTTACACCCCCAATTCTTAGGACTGAGCGCAGGGGTGCTCTAGCTCTACCACTGAGCTATAGCCCCAGCTCTTTTTTTGTTTTTGTTTTTGTTTTTAATTTTGAGACAGGGTTTTGCTATGTTGCCCAGCCTGGCTTTGAACATCTGATTCCCCTGCCTCTGCTTCCTGAGTAGGTGGGATTATAGGCAAGCACCACTGGCTTCTTCACAGCTTCTTTCTCCTGCCCTCCTTTGGGCCGGGAATCTAACCCAGGGCCTTGTGTGTACTGTGTACATGCTCTGCCACTGAGCTAAACCACCAGCCTGGACTTTTTTGTAATGGACAAAGTCAGGTATGAGTTAAGTTTTGATACGACCAAACCTATTTTGTTTTAAACATTTTTGTATATTTGACTTAATTTCATGATTTTTTTGTTTGTTTGGTTTTTGAGGCAGGGTCTCACTATGCAGTTCAGGCTGGCCTTGAACTCACTTAGCCCAGACTGGCCTTGAACTCACAGCAATGCTCCTGTCTCAGCCTCCCTGGTGCTGGGATTGTAGGCATATACCATCATACGTGGAAATATTATGATATTTTAAAAACCTTTTAGGGCAGATTTATCAGTGCTTATTAAACAACAATTTATTATTTAGTATATGTGTGCACTTTAGTTTTCTAGTGAATTTTATTTTCATTTGTATCAAATTTTATAAAATATTTATTATCAATTTAATTGGTATTGCATTATAACCTTATATCAAATTAAGGAAAGTATGAAATACAACTAAAATTTGAGTTCTTAGTAGGTGCAAATAAAATGCTAAGCTTTTTTTTTTTTTT